TACTTTAAAATGTATTACTTATATATATATAAATGAATTTCTGATGGATTTTCGAGAACAAGATTTTACCTGATAAAATGGAAACGTAGTCTTATTCTGTTTTACCGTGCATATAGCAATTTCGTGACACTTTCACGGTTAGTGCGGTTGAGCGAAAGTCAGATAGTGATGAAACTCTATGCCGGATACGTTTCGCGGTGTCGTTGCTTTTGCGCGCGCGTTAGCGATGACGTTAGTGGGCTTCATGCAAATATCTCTCCTTGCGCAAACGAAAAACCCGATATAGACGACAAAAATTTTTAAATCTGCGCGAATGACGTTTCGATCAGTGACTCTCTCGCTAACGAAAAAAAAATTATTTATTAAATTTTATTTCGGCACTTTCTTTTTAACTATATATATACATACATACATATATATGTGCTTAACACATTGGGTCTTAAGACACAAAAAAACTAATACTACTGATTTTATCCGATAATATTGTTATAGTGTACAATCGCCAATAAAAAACAAAAATGTGTAAAACATAATAACGACGAATAATCTTCGCAATCCATTGCGCAACGCTAATGATAATGTAACATTATAAAGAATGTTAAAATAACACTTAGAATAAATTTATAACATTTAATAAAAGTGTATAAAGTTTTAACGGCAACAACCGAATATTTTTAATGTGTTTGAAGTGGTAATAATTGCTTTATATACGTATATCAAATTAATTGATTTTACGAGCAATAAAATTATACATGACAATATATTTGTGTTTTTAGTAATAATATTACATAATTCATTGCAACAATTGGTAATACTTATGTTATCAAAAAAATGTGTATTTAAAAATTTAAAATGATTCAAAATATAGATACTAGGCACAAGTTTGTCTTTATGTCATACAGTACAATAAAAATAATTTTACGCATTGCTTTATTCGTTTTAGAAACAGAATAGAAAAAAAATACAGTCATGTTAAATTGTTTCACAGTTTCATGCGGGTATTAAAACTGTGGTGACAAATCGCGTATGCGTGTAACGTTTCGTAATTGTTTTGAATTTAATCAACTTTTTAATTTAAAATGTGAAAATCTTTGAGTGAGATTGCTACTACGCGCTTGAATGCGAGCGTATAACGCGCGTTGCAGCTTTCTCTTGCGATAAAATCGGATACATTGGTAATGCGATTATAAAGTCAATCGTTTAATTAAAAATCGGTGCTTAATATGATTGTTTTCTAAAGAATTATAAAAGTAAATGTACAACAACATAGGTAACAATATTTTTATATCAAAATTTTTTATGTACTTAATATGTTTTGTAAATAATTTTATAATAATAATAATGATAATAATAATAATAATAATAATTTTATGGTTAAGTTAAAAACCATATGGTTAAATTGTATTTATAGTTAAAAACTATAAATATAATTTTATGGTTTTTAAAATATAAATTAGTATCTNGAACGTATTCAGAGAAACACTCACAGACACAAAAATCATACAGAAAAAATAAATTATATATATATATATAATATATATATTTATATATATATAAGTAATACATTTTAAAGTACGTAATTTAAAAAATCTGTATAGGAAGTTTTAAATTTTTTTAATGTTGTCAAAAACATTTTGTGTATTATTAGTTTTTTACATACATATCGAATGTTAAAAATAATTTGAAACATTTTATGTTTTGTGGATTCTGTGTGTGTATTTGCAGATTTGAATACACGATTCACATAGAATAAACATAGTTGTAATCAAACTACTGCAAATAATATGCATACTAAAAAGCGCTTTCGTTTTTTCATACGTTAGTACCTAACGTATGTCTGTAAAATATGTATGTCTGTGAAATGTATTTCTGCGTTTGTCTTATCTACATAGTTATGTAAAAAATTGTCATGTTTTTTTGTAATAATGGCTCTCTCATAATATTTATTACATATAGTTAGTTGTAGCAGATTTCATATAATTTACGATTAAGTTTTAGCAAATATATTAAACAAAGAGAAATATGTGTTTAAACATTCCCTGATTATTTAATAATGCGTCATTTAATGAAGTATTGTGAACACTCTGTTGAAATTTTTAAAGGTCAAAATACTCATAGCATGTTGACATTACAGTTTGAAGAACCTATCAGACAGATACCTGCGTTTTTCTATAAGCTACTCATTGTTTCGCGTTCAAACGATCATCACATGTAAATATCTTTATGTATATGTATGGCATTAATGTCACTGCAGCGACATCACGCGTGATCGTTGATGTCTCCAACAAAAATCTTTCTATAAAAATTCTTAATAAATTATATTTATCTGTAATACATGTTTTTCAATCTTACAATACTCAAATTTCTATTCTGCATTTTAATAAACAAATAGCATGTAATTTATAAGTAAATATATTTACCTATATATTTTATATTATCTTTTGTATAATTACGTTATATAATTACATTACAAAAATTTAATATTTGTTTTAATGTATATTTTTAATAACAAAAATTAGTATTATAAGATTACATTTTATCGTAAATATTTATAGAATTATAATCACACACACAAATTCTTCTTTAAATATAAAAATATATGATTTACTTCAAATATTTTCTAGTTCAATTTTTTCGGCAACTTAAATTAAAAAAACATAAAGAATTTACAATTATCATATCATCAAATCCATCATCTGATCATCTTCATCTTCCTCTTTTGACTTACTACTCTATCTTAATATTTTTTCTGAACTTACCGAACAATGCAAGGATCGTGAAGGTCACGAGAACCTTCGATTTAATGGGACACACCATGATCGCCAATCGTTCTCGCAATCCTTCTCGTTTACAAGATTAATGATACGGACGTCAAGAACACGATGTTTTCAGGATTCTGAACACCTGGGCCAATCTTGGTTTATTTGAAGTAAACTGCGATGCCTACCGATATCCGCCATTTTGGATTACAAGTCTACAACGAGTCGCTGAACATCAGGAGAGTTTCACGGGCGCTGCCTGCGGCACGCCATTCTTTCTTTTCTCTCCTTCTTCCTCTCGTTTTTTTTCGCTTACTCAGTCTCGCGCACGCCGGTTGACCTACTTGGCAGCGGATCAGATCAGTGTATACGTCAGGTTTTCGGCCAATGCACCGTACCAAACTTTAAAACTAATATCAGAAAAAGAGACTTAAGACTCGTTTTATGATTCTACTTATTTGTGATATCATATTGGTTTATCTCGTTATTTTAATTTTAATTTTTTTCTTTTCAAAAATTTCACTTTTAGTTTTCTATTGGTTCTCAGGTTTTTCTCAAATTAATTTCTTTTGGATTTCTTGAAGACACTGTAAATTCTTTTTTGAAATAAATTACATCACTTGTAAACTTCAAAATCCAGTATTTGACGTTTGAAAAGCAAGTTAATACATATATATATTTGGCAACAAAATAAAAATTTCCACGCACAGTACTGATATTAAACACAATCATCAAACAAATGAGTTTTTGACTTCACTGGTATTTACTTATTATATATAAAAAATATAATCAATTTTTTAATACTTAACTGATTACTAGTGTTACAATGTAATGCATTTAAAACATAATCACTTAAAAGAAATTCTGTATTTTTCACTTTATCATCAGTTCAATATAAATAAATAAATCTTTAAAGTGATTTTTGCTCCAAGTTTCGGTACAATTTCTCCGCACTTGATTAACATCATTCGCTAAAGGCACATTACCGAGCAAGGTTTATAGAGAATCTGGATCAGTAAATTTCTCCTGGAGACCATAAATACAACCAAGAACTCCGTTAATCTATGTTGTTTCACTCCGCCAAAATCCAGTGGTCAGACAAGAACGCACTGATGATCGTTCACTTTTAAATAACGTTATTGTTGCTGGTTAATGTTCCTGGAACATCAAAATTTCAGTGCGAAAGCGTAGAACTCAAGGTCCCAAGCGTGTACCTCCGAGGTTCACTTCACGGTCGTTCACACGGGACTGTCTCAGTCTGAGGACGATCATATACGGTTTCTCCCACTTAAACTATACCGTATCTACGCCATGATGCAGCGTGCACTGCCGTGAATGTATGTATGTACATCGCTTCTTCGTGGTTGACTTCTACTATATCGAGCTCTCTACTTCTGTCGTCCTCTACAGAACAGTTCTGTCCCCACTCTTATATATCTTTCTTTCTCTCAACTTTCTTTTTTCAACTCTCTGTAACAAAATGTCTGCACAGCTACTACTGTATAATCTTTAACTATAGTCCATATCACATGTGAGCCTTTTTCAATCTGAGCAGATGAGCTATCAGATGTGAAAGAAAAAAGAAAAAAGAAATTTATATTTATATGTACGCACAAATCAAAATTAAACTATTTTGGGAAATAAAGTTTTTTCTCAATGTTTCAATAAAAAGCATCTATATTCTTAAAAAAACATATCGGTAATAGTTTTAAATTATAGATAAAAAACTGTATATACATACATATTATATATATATATATTATATATATAAATCGTATGAAAAATTATTCTAAAAAAAAAACTAAAAAATAAGAGAAAGAAAGAGAGAGAAACTGCTATTGAACAATTTCTTTATAAAGAACTATGTGTATAAAAAATCGATGTGTACAAAAGATGCAAGTAATACTGACAATGATTTTGTATTTTGCACTACACAATTGTCTAATCTTTTCTTTAATGTTTTAGTCTAACTAGTAACTTTCTAGTTTTATTCTTTTAACATGCAAGTAGCAGATAAAGTTACAATAGGATAAATTAATTAACGTAATTAGTTAAGATAAGTTAATTAAAGTAATTAATATTGTTGCAATAACTATTTTAGTTAAAAAAATTTACAATGTTTTAAAAAAGTAAAACTGATAACGCGTGTAAAGCAAATGATTTCGTCACAAAAATAGAATAGATCGCAAAAAATATTTTTTTACTAACTTTCTTACATTTAAATCATAACACAAACTGATTCTAAACAATCATAAACTTGTATTATATAAAACTATATTGTCAATGATTATCGCGTCAGTCATTATCACATTACAACACACCTATTTACTTTTTAAATCATAAATTTTTAATTACTATCATCAAGAATTGTCAAGTCAATACTTGCGCTACGTTCTATATTTTCATATAGTATGCTTTGCAGCTAGTTATTTTGTATACATCTGTAATTAAAGAACAAAGAAAATTGAGTGATCGTGTGTGACAGTTGATAATTAATTCTGACACACAAGCACTCTATTATGTTACTAGAATAAATATTGTGAAATTTCACTTTTAGTTCATTTTATGCGTACATTACATATTCTTTTATTAATCATGATTTTTTTGACTCAACACTTTTAAGATTAAAAAAATGAGCTTGAAGATAGTTTGCATCGCAAATTCAACAAATGAGTTTGAAAAAAATATTTCTAAATTCTACTATTTTATGTTTTATAAAACTGACAATAGGTAATTAAGTAAACTGTTTAACGTACACAAAGACGCGCGCATATGCAATAACGGGATCTTTTAGATGCATCGTGAGCATGAGAGTCTAGCATGCACAACGATGTTATTAGCGTTAGGTCTTTCTCGCGATATTACAAAAATTGAAATAAGCGTTCTCGCGTTTCTTTATTTCTTTGATTTTATTAAAAACGATGTTTTGTGTGTACGATTATACAAATAACAAATAATATTTTACATTATACGCAATTTGAATATTATTGTATTTCGTATTTTTAACAAGTAATGGAATATAATCACATTAATACAGATAATTACAATTTGATAAAAATAAAAAGCTAAATATATTGATTAATATTCTGATCACATGCCACAGTCCACTTCTCTTCATTTTAACATAATGTGAGAAGACTAGCAAATAATTCATTGTGCGCTTTACTTTATTAATGGTAAACGTAACTAAGAATTGATCGGCGCGGTATATGACTGAATCTCACAAGTGCATTGTGCACGCACAAGCATATTTTTCTGCATTCATTAAACACAAGATGTACCGATGCCTTACTATTGCTTCCGTTGTTACAATAATTCACGTGTTCATAACCCAATTACTTATGATTTTACGCTTTAGACTAAAGAATACTCTCATGTTTATCAATTGTATGTAATTATTATCACGAGAATCTTGTAAATTAAATAACTTCAATGTAAAATGTAAGATTGAATTATAATTAATTATTGTGTGTGTGTGTGTATGTATATGTGAGTGTGTGACTGTGTGTGTATATGTATATAAACTATGTAAACCTATTTATTACACCCAAGCTACAATAATAATATTAACAATAGTAATATTTTAATGTTATTATTTTATGTAATTATGACAATTATAATTCACGTTTAAATTAATAAATATGCGAATGTTTGAGTACTAAATCAAATTATACTGATTACTACTTAATTTTAAATTAAAAACGTAAATATTAAACAGAAATTATTTATTATTTATTATTCTAGTATTATAAGTCTATATATATATATATATATATATATACATGTATAGTAAATATACAGTATCTATAAATCTAATATGTACAAATCCAATATAAATATATGTATCTCAATACTGTTTTTTACTCATGTAGCTCGATAAAAACAGAATTATTCAAGAATATTACTTTTATGTATATAATTAACTGGCTCGCTTTTCTAACTCGCTGCTAAATAATTTGTGAAAATCTGACAGTTGGAAGATGTGTTCACTATGCACATCTCTCTTGCTCTCTTTCTGGTAGTTCTACAATATGTTTTTTTACTGTCAAACGGTATAAATGTATGTACATACATACATGTGTTGTATAGGTGTATATTTTTTCGTCATTATTTTCTTCTTTTTTGTTTTTTTTTTTCTAATATAATAAAACCAAATATATTAAGTAAGTTTTTAAAAACCTATTTTTAAAATAATTAACATTACTTTTCAACATAAGAACAATATCTATGCAACTTATACATATATAAATTATTATATGTATATAAAATTATCATTTATATATATAAAATTAATTGTAATATATAATATTATATATTACATTTAATTTTTAATTTAACTCTTTTGCTGCGGAAAAGTCTAATACTAGCGCGCATTCTGTAGAAAGTAGAAAGTATGCAAGTCAAAACACTGAACTACATTATATTAATATAAAAATATATAAATACCAATAATAAATATCAAAGATATAGAATGAAGATGCTTCTAGTGCCATTTGAGCGATATCGGTTGAATACCTGGAAGTGCCACTAACTCAAATGACAAAACTTATTAAACACCAAGAGGCGCCAAAACCATATTTTAAACAAACTTCCAAAATTTTCATAAGCGTTAGTAGCACAATGAAAAAATTAATTATATATAATTCTTTTCTTATTATTAACCGGTGATAAAACATAATGTTATAGTTTTTTATCATTAATTGATAGTGTAGGAAATGATAAATCGCGCTTCATCTTAATGTAATTATTGTACTTAATTATGTTATTTATGTTTATCTAAAGCGCTCAAACTAAACAAAATATTGAGATACTTAGTTTTTTACTTTTGTTAAATTCTTTCTTCTCGCACTTTATTAATAAACTTTCATAAACACACGTTAAAACAGAAAAAAAGAATCGTAAAAGAGCGCAATCTTGTTGAATATCGATAATTGGTGGCTTCTAAAACAGATTGGAAGATTCAAAAATAAAAAAGTTATGTCTATACACACACACACACACACACACATATAATGTATATATATAACAATATATATATACATATGTTTTATATAGAAATATATACATGCGTGTGTATATATATACATGTGTGTGTGTGCACACTTTTCTTCTTTTATCTGTTAATTTTCTAAATATAGTGTCAGACGTAAAATTCTGTTTTGTGAATTTTTTGTTAGCTTATTTTGAAGAACATATCAATTGTCAATTTTGTTGCAAACTGCTGCTTATTTCCTCTGATATAATCAACTCGGTCAAATAATTTCATCTCGAAGATTCCGTTGTCTTCGACAGACGCTTACTCGCATTCTCTTTCCACATTCCGACACGTACAATCTTAAACATTGACCAACCCCTCTTGATCTTCCAAGAACCACTATATAGGCGCGAATTGCGTTTCAAAAAACGACATCGCGAACATTATCGCAAGAAAAAATTGCGCTGTCTAGAAAAAAAGCAAATTAAAACTTGTGTGTCATAACTAGCTAAGGATGTAACGAACTAGTTAGAGTAACATGAGAATAGAACATCATTTTTTTTCAGCGCGTCACTGTTAATTGCCGCTATTATCCGCGAAGTTGGATTGTTTGGTTCTGATGACATCAGAACATTTTGGTTCCCATCGAATCGATCGCTTTGTGCGACCCCTTTGTGCATTGTGAAATTATCGACGTGCACGCTCTCTTTCTTCTTTTCTTCTCACCCTCCTGACGGTGCTCCTGGTTCCACTACGCACCAGAATACCTCCGACCAAACTAGACGCCAGACTGGTTTTTGCTCAATTTAGATTCCCCATTGTTCGATCTGCGCTGGAATGTGAAAATAAAAGAACTACACTAAATCATCTCTTATTCGCGTATGTTGCATAGGAAAACACCACGGCAGTGCCAACAAGCATTACGCCTCGTGTCAAGTTGATTTTGTGTAGACGAAATGTGTTCAAATAATAATTGCTATTTTTGTCAACATGTTTTTTTGTTTCTAAATCCGATTTGTCAATATACTACGTACTTGATTAAAAAAATATTCGATGTTTGATTCGAGTTTTGATTAATAAATATTCAAATAAATAATCAAATTGATGAAAACAATTGTCATTAATTGATCAAAAGATCAGAATTTCATTTTTTTTTGTTTTTAACGTAATGTTTTTAAATAGTACCTAGAATAATTTTATGGTGTAGCTGCAATGAAAAGTTAAACAAGAATGCTAGTGCGACATTACACACGTATTGATAAGAAGCTGAAGTGCATATCGCGGTATGTTCCCAGCACTGCATACAGTTGACTCATTGTACGTTCTCTGTCCGAGAAGTACCACGCCGAAATGCAATAAAATAGCTCTGAGCAGGTGTAAACTTCCAGATGTTTTTAGTGCAACTTCAAAACAGTTTTCACATTATCTATATTCTTTTTTTTTGAAAGTTAGTATCTCTCTCTCTCTCTCTGTCTCGAATCTTATAAAGTACACAAGCTCATTCAGCGGCAATAATAATCATTGATTCACATGTCATCTGGCTGCAGTATGCGTCACTGCATTATTACACTTGTAGAAAGAGCGGCGTTAGATGCATCATTGGTTTGTCATGCGGGATATTTCAGCGCAAGCTGCTCGAATAACCAGTGACGGGCATGAAAAGTCTTCTTAATCATCAGTGGGTGCTATTAGTTATTTGCAGATGTAAACGGAACAAGTTTTCCTAACACGTTACTCTACAGACTATTTGAATTACTCTTTTATTAACATAATAAGTTTATTAGTTCACATTTTATTTATATAATAACTATCTAGTAAAATCGGTTGATTAAATTTTATATTGTAAAACAAATATATAAAATTTTCTATTTTAAGTTTTAAAATAATAAAAACTTTTTACATGTAGTTCTTATTTGTTATATTCTTATTAATATGTCTTATTTTAAAATACTATTAAAAAGTTGTTTTTTGCAGTTATCTATTTTTTGTGACATCTTTAAAAAAACATTTTGTATGATCAATCTACCGTAAAAAATGTTGATCATGTCCAAATAGTGCAATGACAGATTTTTCTCTGCCGGATGTTGAAATGCAAGCGAAGGGGATAGATAACGCAGGCGTTAAGTAAATATCCAACACCAATATACTTTAGTCTAAAAGAATTTTACCTGGTCATGTCATAAAATGCATAGTTTAGTATAAAAGAAACGATTAAAATATTCTGAAATTTCACACTAAAAAAGCTACTATAAATTTCGGAAATTAAAGAAAGATTTTTCTAATTTTTTTGTTACTCACGCTAATCTGTTGACATGCTTTGGAAGACACGCCGCCGCCGTTTTGTTTCAGAAAATAAAGCAGAAACAACATTATATTTGCAAAATAAGTTATTAAAAACATGTTACAATAAAAATGTAATAATTAATATTTGTTCATAAAATCTAAGATGTGTAAATATCTAGATAATTATTAAATTAAATGATAATTGTAATTACTTGTAATTGTAAACCACCATTATTTTCATGTATATGTATATGTAACTGATTAATAATGAGGCATTATCCTTATAAACATATCTACTCGTTTTAATATAAAAAAGTGTATTTTCTGTAATTATAGGAGAAAAAACATTATTTCTTTTATTACAAATTTGTTATTGACACTATTAGTCGTTTCTCAATAGAACGTACATACAACATCTATACAAAAAACATTTTTATTAATTACTTGGACGTAGAACATTTTCTTCCCATTATCAATATAAATATTTGCGTAAAATATTTTTCGTGTGTATTTGAAAATGCGCACAGGTTATTACAGCCCTGGTTGTCACGTCGAGTTCTGTAAAAGGGTCCGGCGAGCGTCAAACCCACTCCTGGGCCAGTCTCGGAGTCGGCCCATTCCATTCCGGACCCATCGTAGTCGTCTCTCGCGTGCATCGTCCGCCGGAAGAAGCATTCCATTCATGTTTCGGAACGCGCAACACGCGAGTGAGAGAAAATTACGAAGAGAGACCGATCAGTGCCTCTCTGCAAGAAGCAAAGTGCGAGCAGGTCCTCAGTATACTACCTGGCGCCGTCTTCAGGGCCGTGATGACGACGAGTCCACCAAGAACAACCTGTCCTTTTGTGAACGCATTCAACACCAAACACGTGGTCTTGCATTATTGTTTCAGCGCTGCTCCGAACACACGGAGGTGATGCGGTAAGGCTGTACTGGTGCGTTCTTTTGTTTACTTTGTTCTTTTTTACCGCTATTTTGCCTCGTATCTGTATGTCCGGAAACGTGCCTCGATATCGCTGTTTAAATTGCACTCGACGGCAAAATTTATCGATCAATTGACTCCGAATTTTTGACTAGATTGTAGTTTTATGCTGATTGAGTAAGTTTTTGTGCACATATCCATCGCGCGCAGTTAAAGATAATCACACGCTGTATCTCAGGTTTAATTAAAGATAGATTTAGGTCTATAAATATAATACGTCGATTAAGTGATTTTTATCATATATTTGAGCTACAGATAAAATACGAGTGGTTAGAATAGTGGAAAACACTTAGATGTCTGTCGTATCGTCAACGCCATCTGTAATATATGAATTTAATGTTATTCTTTTAAAAAATAGTTTTTATTCAGTCTTTGTAGTAAAATTAAGTCAACATTTAAATTCACAATTTTATAAATGTAATTACTAAAACAAGTTTATTCTTACGTTTAAGTACATCTCTATCATTAGCCATTTTCGTACAACTACACTTATAGAACTTGGATATTATTTACAGAATATCAAAATTAAAATTCACATGCAAAATACATATATATTTATTTATAATTTTTATTAAATATATTTATATATATTTAAATATATTTATTTATAATTTTTATTTTCATTGTTTGTGGTTGACGTAAAATTACTTATTAATCTGTAAAAAAAATATTATGTGAAATTTATTTAGTAGATAAATAGATTGCAAGTTTGTTTGAGGGGCCGTTATTTCGACTGTCTTCATTTCCAAAGCGCATAACAACCACGCATCCTCCGCATGCTAACGCGGCTGTTGAACTCGCCGGTCTCACTTTATGTATAAGATTATCGTTTTTAAGTCGTCCAATGTACAGTCGGCAGACATCACTGATCTATGTACGTACACACACACACACACACACACACAGTGTGTATATATATATATATATATATATATATATATATATATATATATGTGTGGGAATTATTCCAGAAGAACAAGAAACAGGCTGTTCCTGCTGAGGAGCATGACTTGTTTTCGCGTTAGAAATCTTGTTTCCCAAAAGAGCGCGACAGAATAACGCATCTGCGACGTGCAAGTTTCAAGACTACGTGAATGGTAAAATGGGAATCCTAGACTTGTTCTCTCTTTGCTGTTGTCGCAAAATCGCCGTACTTCTTACACTCTTAGGTGATAATGTCAAGTGCGGATAACAAATGTGTAATATCATGTTGTTAAGTTTCCTGAGAATATGCTCTACGAGCAGCGATACTAATATCAAGTTATCTTTCGGTTGTGACAACCTGAAGTTGTTTCAATTGCTTAATAAAGTGGGTTTGTTTTATCGATAAAACTGAACTTTTTCTACACACTATTTTTTTGTCTATATGATATAGATTGATAAATTCTTTTCTACAATTAAAGTACATATAATAAAAGACCCGGAAAATCCAACTTTATATAACAAAATAAAATAAATTGAAATTATTAAAACATTAGTCCTATATATGTGTGTATATATATATATATATATATATATATATATATATATATATATAATTTATAACAAAGTAATGAGTATGTACAAGATAAGATAAAACAAAAATAACAGTTAATCAATATATTTTTCTTGCGCATAATTTTATGTTATACACTTATTCATGAAATATATATATATATATATATATTATACTTTGTTATAAATTACTTTCTAAATTTTATTCTATATATTTCTTGATGTTGTATTAATTTTATTTTTTTATTATATTATATATCGCACATGTTTTGATTTCCACAAAAATAATCGAAACATTTTTTAAAAGATAAAAAGATAACAAGATGTAAAACAGAAAAGTTTTGCGCTTATATGCATTTTCACAGAAAAAATTTAATATCCAACGCTCTCAAAATCTTTTTTGCTACTTTATTCATGAATTTAACCGAATGACGTGTTCAGTTCAGAAGTTGAGCGCTGATTGAACGTCGTGAATCACATTCCCTTGCTAAAGCCAGGTACTACGCGCGTAACGTCATATATTTCTCCGAACGTATCTGGGAAATTATAATGTCTCTTCGTTCATATAAACTCCCGGCCGTATCGCGTGCAACCATTCAGTAACTCGAACAAGCTACCGTACACATCAATTCCGCGCGTCTCAACCCTTCAGATACAATTCACAAGACTCTGAATCTTCGGGTGTGCTTTCTCCACTCTCGTTCAACTAGTCTTTTTTTCCTAATTACAGTTTTCTTTTCTACAAGAAGAAAAAGTTTTATAGTCTTTGCCACTTGCAAAGCTTATTTTTAACGAAGCGCCCATTCGCTTTAGGAATTTACTGCAGTCAGAAATATGTAAGTACACACAACACAACACACACACACACACACACACACAAACAAATATCGACTTTATTTGCTCAGTGCCACATGCTTGTTTTTTTACCTCTCTTTTAGTTAATTAGATTTTATCTATTTATAATGATGTACACATAAAAGTCGGTCTCATTAACAGTGTGTGTATGTGTATCACCATATAGCTTATATACACGTAACTCTTATATATATATATAGTGTAGCATTCAATATCAGTTTTAGTAAACTGAATTAATAATGGACTTGGAGTCAGGTTTTTATTTTTATATGTAAATTTGCAAAATTAATATTCAATTAATGTAACAAACGTAATATCGATTATAAGTAAGATTGGTCAAGTAAGTAAAGCTGGCATCTATCTTTATTATTCGTGAAAACATATCGACTTTATTTTTATTGCTTATATATAAACTCCAAGGTACCTGCAAAAGACATATGTCTATAAATAGCAACATGTGTCAACATAACTTGTCTTATGACTAATTTAAGAATATAGCTCGGAAAAAAGTTTCTCCGCTATCGAGAAAATTGTCTTGATAACTAATTTTTATATTACTGCTTTTTTATTGCCGCTACCGACTGCAAACATCGCAATCGATCAACATGGCAAAACAAATAAATTTTTAAATTAGGAGACGGATATTCAAAAGTACAAACTAAAACATTCAAAGTGCGACAGACTTCGAATTTGTCCCCTCTTCCGGAGTGTCAGGGTGCGCTTACTCTTCGGTAATCCGATCATGAACTCGAGTTGGGAAATAGAACGGTTCGGCGCGGCAGCTGCATCAAGAACGTAGTACCGCGTTACATACAACGCAGCTGCGAACAACAATACCCTCAAGTAACCAGCCAACTCGCTCGAGGACCCGCCATCAACTGATCGGATCCGTTGAAGCCGGTACGGCGTGTCTCGGTTGTTCTACGGCCTGACCCACAGCTCTGGCCTGTGTCGGGTCTCATGCCGCCTATCGCCGGATACAGTCTGACGATTCGTTGGCCGCACGTCGGTCGCAGTTGTGAGTGGCGTGCGTACTCGTATGTGTGTGACGTGTCGTCACCTCCTGTGTGCGACTCATAACTCCGTTGTGTCTCGCGCGAGTGCTTACGAGCGAGTGCGTACGCCGAAGCATTCGTTAATATCATTTCCGGCGTGCGCGTAGAACTGTGCACATAGTTTCAGTTGTGTTGTGTTGTGTCTCGCGCGCGGCGTCTGTCTGTCCGTCGCTCTCTCTTCCGTCTCCTTCATACACTCGTCATCGTCATCTTCTTCTGCGAGTACGTGCCGCAACGTTGCGGTTCCCGCTGTTCTGCTGTTCTCGCGGGAGGTCAGCACCTTAGCATCGGTAGGTAGGTAAATAGATAGATAGGTAGGTAGGTAAGTGTGGAATGTAAGATTTGGGGTTGCTGCCGCGCTAGAACGTAGAAGGCACAGACTTCTCTGAAAGAGAAAGAAGAGCGAAAGCCTCCCATTACCTCTTGAAAGGAGAGCTCGCGGTGAAATATGAGCAGCCAGTTTTCGGTAGTTTTCTTTTTTTTCTTGGTTGATTGGCCAAACGCGGGAGATCTATCGTGTGTTTTGCGATGAAGTTGCCGGCTCGAAATCTGCGAGACGATTGGACAAGGAGGCTTGTATATAGTTCAGTCGCTTCTCCGCGGGATTTTAATAAAAAATCGTGCTTGAGAGATGTATAATCGAGTCCGTGAAACGATTCGCGAGTAGATTTTATATGATCTCGCTGATAAAAGAAATTGCCTAACTTTTAAAAAAATTCTCTTGTAATTTTTAACTGATAGAATCATTTATATATCTATCATACTATTTAAATAAAAATTTTCCTGTTGGGTGTCAAAAAGTTCAACTTGTCGATAATACACAACTTTCTCATCATCTCACTTTGATATAGCTTCTTAAAAATATTACAATCTATATATAGAAAAATAAAAAAAGTAGTTTTTTTTTATAGTTTTTCTTTTGATGTATATTGCTCAACAATTTTTCAAACTATAATCTTTGCAAAAACACTCAAATGTGAGAATAACTCAAACTTCTCAATAATAAAACTTTACGATCGACTCCTTTTATTATTTTAGGATGTTGTAATATTCAGCGTGATAAATGCATGTCGGACGGAATTACGAGCGTATCCATGAAGCGTAAGAGGAATGCATGGAATACCTCAGCGTGTGTGAAGATAAGACGAGAAGCGACAACTCGGCGAGGCAAGGGTGATTTACCTTACTCTCGCCGCTATTGTACGTCTTTGTTGTTTACGAACGGTATTTTTATAGAGATCATGTAGAAAGAACCCCTATGACACCGTTAAAACATAGGAGATTCTTGTATTAAGGTATTGTAACATTTCACCGCGTAGTTCACTTAAATAAAAACGTCAAAATAGTATTGTATGCATGTTTATTGATCATAATGCATTCTATAAAAATAACAATTTGTAGCTTAAAAAATGAGAATTCAACCAAATAAGTGTTAATAAAAATACTAAATATTTGCGAAAAAACGGATAACATTGCTCACGACAACATGTCACAAAAAACTTTAGTCAGTATACATATATAAATTATAAACATTGTAAATACGACTATTTTAATAACAAATTAAAAACAAATATTTTGATGTTTTCCCAATGTTAAACGGTGGTTAATTTTTATTCCAGCGTGACAATAATTGATAACACAATCTTGTTAGTTTATTTCTTAATAAATGATTTTTTATATTACATAATATTTTAAAAGTAACATACCTATTGTATTCATGCTTTATAGTTTTTATACATTTATAAATAATTTATACATTTAGCGATCTTTTATCAATCAATAAAATATTTGCAGCAATATATAGTTATCTGTAAAAAGTTTTTTTATTTATATATTCCTATAAATAATTGATTGATTGTAGAAATTTTGCACAAAGTATATTTGTAATAATAGTGCTTTTTCTTTATAAACAATGTTGAAATAACATTATAAGTAGTAAAAAATAAGTTGTTTTGTTTGACATAAATTATTTTCTTTAAAATAAAGCAGAACACCCAGGCGCTTTAGGAAACAATATACGATACTGAACGTGCGTACTCTCCTTGTATACTCACGCTCGAGTTTTCATTCTAGAAATAGAAGTGAATGAGTGCGTTGAGCAAGTGTTTGTTGTGTGAAAGACTTGAGTACATAGCAGTGTCAATCCCGCAGATAATCTGGAAGTAGTGACGCCCTGTTTATTCTGTTCGGTAGTTTGGCGTGGCAAACAAGAGCCCGAAATATCAGATTCGTATATTTTCAGTCTTTTTAATTGGATAGGACCGTCGCGATACTCGTAAATTATTCGAATTCGTAATTAAACCGTTACCGCGTTCCTCCGCGTGAGTATTCTCTGCGCAAAGAACGACGTTCTTTGTTCACTTTTTTATATCGACAGTTGAGAGAGAGAGAGAGAGAAAGAGAGAAAGAAAGACCATTTTTATTTAAGTTTAAAAAACATTTCTACTGAGTGATTTTTGAACAAAGAAGTAACATTTGTTTCAGTTTTCGTATGTAATTCTACTTAATACAACCACAAGTTGGTAATTGGCACGTCGTCAGAACGAATATATTTTCTAACTAATTACTAGAAATGAAATAATCCGAAGAACTTGCGCTTAAAATAATAACTGAATTGATGTTTGTTGTGCATTCTAATAAGATAAATAATTCAATAGGGAATTTTGTTTCGCAACAGATAAAACGTGACTTTTAACAAACGAGTTATGGCTCCGAGTACAACATTGTCATGATTTCAGCAAGAAGTTGAACTCTTAGTACTCTTACATTTACCATATTGTAATAAATAAATGGCTTACTTACATGTAGCCGTTCATGCAATGCAACTTCTCGCGCGTTGACGCTTATCTTTGCAAACAATTGACCATAATGCGGTTTCAATTATATTGCAATTGAAGGCAACGCTTGATTTACGCGTTACATCGCTTATTGCTACGTGCTACGTAGTGCATAAACATCGTAACACGTGTAACTTTACGGAAACCGCGAGTAAAGATCGCATGACCTAAAAATTACAATCATTTCGACGTCGAAGAACTTGATAAGCCAAATATATCGAAATACTTGATAAGAAAATACTTTTGTGAAGTAATGAGATACGATAATATAAAATTGATTAAAGATGTCATTATAGTCTTCTCTCTTTTCGAGATGAGTAAAAAAAAAAAAAAATCAGAAAACAACATTTCGTAATAATAAACATTGCAAATACGTTTTATCTTCTTCATATTCTTTTATTACTTCAATATTTTATATTTGAAAGCAAACTCGATTTGTTTGTAAGATACAATGCACTATAACAAAGCAAAATATTGCTCGCCTTTGCATTGTTTCAATTTCCACATTGTTTTAATTTTAAACAGTTTGCTGCAACAAAACATTAACATCGGATATTTTCCATTGTATTTAGTAGAGCAACGTAATAAGACAATTTCACTAACTTAACGTTTTGATATTTAAAAGTTCTTACATTATCTAGCGGAAATTATGTTTTTTTTTCTCTGAGAACATAGCGCGATATCTCAAAAAGTCAAATCAATATGTCATAGCATGTATTAGTTGGACATTGCTGTAAAAGTTTAATCAACTCTTTTTCTTTACTTTCTAATCTATCTCCATTCGCTATATATTTAGCATAAAGACTTTACATGTTATCGGTTTTCTGAAGCTTCCTTACAAAAAAGCGTTTTATTCTTTTATCTGTTGCGCCAACTTTCTCGAGCTCGGCTTTTTTGTAATCTGGAATTCAACGTGATAAAATATTTTTCTGTATGTCTTCACGTAGGAATACAGAAAAGGACTGCGAACAACAAAACGAATACTTGTCTCGGGCAGGGAAAAAACTTACTTTTTGTTCATACGCATGTGACAGAATTTGGCTACAGATTTTCGTTTACATACAATATCTTGCAATGGTTTATATAATTTTTTTAGAACAACATATAATGTGTTTTTTTATGTATTATATAAAATCCGTAGAGTAATTAGAAGTTATTTGCACGCGCATATACACGTATACACACACACACACACAAACGTGTATTATATTATTAGCAAATATTACTGACGTGTTTATTGCGTTTCATAATAAAAAATACAAATACAAAGTAATTAAAAACATGCAAAGTACTTTCTTTCAATTTAGCAAAGTGTGTGTCAAAAAAAAAACAATATTCTCATACACTGCACACTTTCCGTTGTCTTTAAGCTGTTTCTCTCTTTCGATGTCCAACAAAACTGTAGAAACATCTGCTTCTTCTACAAAGGTGGTCTCGTCAGATAATGCCGTATAAAAAAAAAGAAAGAGAGAAAAAGAGAGAAACACAACCAAATATACAAAATTACCAATTTCTTCAAGAGAAAAAACACGTTTTTTTTTCAGGTTTATAAAATTGCACTTGTACATTTCTTTTTCTTTCGATTCTTCTCTATTTCCGACATTTTCGCTATGCAAAGTTTTTCCATAAAAATTGTCAAAAAATTTGCATTTAAGATTGATATAAGATCTTTTTTTTTTTAAAATTTCTTTTGTACGATACCAAACGCTTCAGAAATAAACTTTCATTGCGATGTAAAATTTTGTTGCGCTTCTTTTTCGTTCGATTTTTTTCTTCCTTCTTTTCTTTCTTTCTTCCGTTCTATTTTTCCTGTTAGAATTTCTTATCATAAGAGGAAGTTGATAGAAGAATATTTAATCAAAACCCACGAGAGTACATCCATCTGACAGGCGTTTTTCTCTGCAATTACTAACTGATATGAATCATTTAATATTATATTTGTTAACATGATATAGGAGATATATATATATATAAAGGAAGTGATAAGATAATTATTGTTTGGCTGAATACTTTTGAATATAAGAAAAATAATACTTATTAAAGACAATTTGCCGCGCTAAAAGTAAGGAAATAAATACAAAATAAAGTTGAGCTACTTTTTATCTTTTTTTTTTTTTTGACGTCCAGTTATTTAAACTGATTCGAATTATGGTACAAATCTCTCTCTCTCTCTCTCTCTCTCTATCTATCTATCTATCTATCTATCTATCTATCTATCTATCTTTCTTTCTTTTATTGCTTATATAAAACGTAACTTGATAATATTTCTTTATGCGAACAATTTCTCCGACTTTCTTTTTCTTTAATTCATTTTCGTTGTTTCTTTTTCTTCTTCTTACTTTTAATATTGTCATTGTTACGTAGTACGAATGTTACAGAAAATTCAAATATATGATACGTCGTTCATATAAGCAGCAATTCATAACAAAGAACACTAAAAGTTACATACAAAATCTCAAGCAGTAAGATATATAAGCAGTAAGCAAATCAATTAATCGGAAACCAACATTCTTTCACAAATGTTCTCTTATATTAATTACCGCAAAAGAATTTTGAGGTAAATACTATTATACTGCGATAAAAAAATAACACAAGTCGAAGAGCATTCCGAATGTCTTACAAAACTGGCCTAATAACGGTATTCAGTCAGAAATCATTGCTAGATCTGATACGACAATAAAAACAAAGATCAAAGTTTTCGGATAATTTAGAATATCTCTTTTATATTTACAAGATGTTCTGGAAAACTGGCGACGAGACGAGCATAGCAGGATTATTATATGAGCACGCAGGTGTCGATGCAGATGTCGCGTAGCGTGGCAGACGTTCGCCACGATCGTGTTGCTTGCGGTATTTGTAAGCGCACGCGCGCGTGTGTGAGTATGTATGTATATCGTCTCGAAATTTTAATAAAACGTGTACGAGAAGCGAAAGAATAGAAGAAGAGAGAAGAAATAAGGCGCCCGTGTGTATTATTTGCCTTACGCTGTGAACTCGAGTGCCGCAAGTGTGATTATACATACACCATGAATCAAATACATATATACGATATTTGGCGTGTTACTTTCGCTTTTTTCAGATCTCTATATGAATGTATAAAAGCTTACGTAGGATCATCAAAAAAAAAAAAAAAAAAAAAAAAGGGAACCAGAATACCGAACGAACATATCGATTCATGTTGGAATTTCGAATAGAATCGAAATTATAAGAGAGAACACAATCAGCTTGATTGAGATACATTATAGATTGAAGAAATTTTTTTGAAACCTTTTCGCTATATATATTTCCGTTTTGTTGTCTGGTATCTTTATATATTGCAACATATACATAAATTCTTTCTTATTTGGTTTCTTCTATCATCTAATTTTTATTAGTGGATCAATATCGTATAGATATAAAGATTATATATTGATTTTAAATGATAAGAAGACGCTAAACAATATACGTTTATTCGTGTTTATTTATATAGTTTTTTTACTTTTATAAAATACAGCTTTTAAAATATTTGTATATCTATTTACACGTTTGTCTGTATAATGACATATTAATTTTATATAGACTTTTGCGCAAAGTCAAAATTGTATTAATTGTATTAATATTAGGAACCTACCATAATTTGAGTAAAAAAGCTTATTCTATTTGTTTTGTTCTGTTGTTTTTACTATCCCGTCTTAGATCAGATAATATTTATTATTTCATTATCGTTTCAGATAGAAGTCGAGATGTTGTGATGGCTGGTAGGTCACGACGTTCGAGCACAGAGCTCGAACCAGATCTATCTACGCCATCGGCTCCAAAGAAGTTCAGACAATTTGAAACATCGCCCGAAAAATTTACGGTGGAACGTGTAACCAAAATAGAAAGTGCTGATAAACCGCACACGAGTAAAACATCTTTACAAGAGAAAGTTCAAGAAAGAAGAGAATCGTCTTCACGTATTATTGCGGAAAAAACATCGGAACCGGCAGTTTCGACTAGTGAAACACCTTTAGAATCGACCGAGCAGACAGTTGAAGTACATGCGGAATCGAAACTATCCGAAACAGAAGAACAAGATAATAAACCAAGGATCTCGTCAGAAGCGATTCCAAGCACTTCGAGACAAGGTGAAGAAGAAGAGGCAATACCGAGTACTTCAAGGCAAGGAGAACAGGAGGAACAGATCGGTATACTACAATCTTTTGTAACATACAGCGATCTGAGTGAACTTACTCGTTCCGCCGGAAAAAGTTCAATGACCGAAACGACCGTACAAAGTTTCATGGTGCGCGAGCATTCGTTATACGAGGAGTTGTCTCTTATCGGAAATGGCGCGTACGGTACGGTGTACAAAGCGAAAGACAAGACTAGCGGTCAAATTGTAGCACTTAAAAAAGTTAGAATACCTGTGACGCAAAACGGTTTGCCTGCATCTACAGTACGAGAAATCGGTGCTCTGAAATCACTCGAACAATATGAACATCCACATGTTGTAAGTTCTAGTAGAAAAATTTACATATATAATGTTTAGATATATAATCAGAACAATATTTAGATATATAATCAATAATATAATTATCAACCGGTACGTAATGATGTCGATGTCTTTATTCAGGTGAGATTACTGGATATCTGTCAAGGAGATTATCACAACTTAGTTCAGCCATCAGGTGAAGGTGAACAATCCGAAAGGGTGAATCGTAGTCTCACTTTATGGTTGGTATTCGAACATGTGGAAAGAGATCTCGCTTCGTTCATAGCAAGCTACCGGAATAGCACTCCGCAATCGAAGATACCCCCGGAGCTAGTGAGACAAATGACGAAGGAAATAGTTTGCGGAGTTGAGTTTTTGCACACTCATAGAATAATACACAGGGATCTAAAGCCACAGAATCTTTTAGTAACACGGGATAACAGAATCAAGATCGCGGATTTTGGTTTGGCCAGAATTTACGATTTTGAGATGAGATTAACTTCTGTGGTATGCTCATAAATGTTCACGTATGAGATGTATCACGAATTACGTGCGCGCATATTTGTTGTAAATTTACGATTTATTCTGTATGTGATACACATCTAGGTTGTAACCCAATGGTATCGACCACCCGAAGTACTCTTAAGATGTGACTACGCTACTCCCGTAGATATTTGGCCTATCGGATGCATAATGGCAGAACTTTGCAAGTTAGAGCCACTATTCCCAGGCACCAGTGAAGGCGATCAGCTTGACAGGATCTTCCAGTAAGTTCTTTTTCTTTCTTTTTGTATCATAAAATTATATTTTCTTACAACCGTATTTCTTCCGTTTCAGAGTTCTAGGTACACCGCCAAAAGAAGCATGGCCGGAAAAAGTATCGCTCAGCTGGACAGCCTTTTCATATAGAAAACCGAAACCTCTTGGTGCAATACTACCAGATCTCAACGAAGACGGATTAGACTTAGTAAAGAAGATGCTCACATTTAATCCTCGCAGTCGTATAACCGCAGCTCAAGCAGCGAGACACCGATACTTGACTGATGATGAAATATAATAACTTTTTCGTAAGTTATTTAATTTAATTTACATATATATATTTACGGCGCTAGATTAACTGACAAACTCAGACTGATATAATTGTATTCTGGAATAGAAATGACATTTAGGAATATTTTGGGTAAGATAGACAGAGTACTACTCGTATTATCGCATGTGTCGCAATTATCGAACATAGCCCATTCGAATATTTGGAATTAAATTTTTTTTTTTTTTTTTTTTGATTGTGTATACATAGATAATAAATAACATATATAATATATTACAAATTTGAGTTAGTAAACAGACAATTGACAATTAAATTCGTTATATCAAGATAAATAGTTGATAACAAACATTACGCGTATCTTTAAGTCTTTTTATTCTAGTTAAGTCGATAGTTTTTCGTTTCTTCGTTTAACAATAAACATGTATAATAATGTAACAAATGTTTTCTGCAAAAAATCCATTATATGTAAGTTACTTTATCGTAAGGACGCTTTAGTCAATTACAATTACGCAGTAACAAATACTTATTTTTGATATGTTATTTATTTATATAATATTACTAAATTACAACGTGCGTTTTAAAGTTTATTAATATTTATACCACAGACGTATTTACATCAAGAGTTAAACTCTTCTTATTAATATTTTTAATTTTTACTTTTATTCAACAAAATGCTTAACAACTAAAGATTTAGTGGTACGCATTTATATAATGTTAATAAATATATAAACTTAAGTTACTTATATATACAAGTAACATTTGTGTATTACAATACTACATAATTATACAATAATATTAAAGCATGCCTAACTTACATATGTTAAACTTTTGTAATTTATGATATGGAAAAGTGTTAGATACAAAAGTCATGTTTAGTAATAGTGACAAAGAATAAATATCTCGACATTGCTTGTTCTTCTTAGAGATATTAAATTTCAACTTTCTTTCTTTTCTTTTTTTTTTGTAATACCTTGTTATTTATTTATTATTAGGATGAGGTCACTAAATCTTACATTTTTACGTAGAACTGAACGTACTTTCTAACTGTGGCATAAAAAACTGTACATAGAAAAAAATAGTTGACCTTGAAATTCTCGAAACACTTCTATTAAAAAAACAAAAAACAAAAAACGTAATTTTTCCTTGAAATCATGTAACTTTTGTATCTAACACTTTTCCATAAAACGTATAATATAAAAGGTTTTCAAGATGTGCTAGATATCTCGTAAATAAACGTTTTTTTATATATTAATGCACAATATATGCATTAATATAACAAATATAGATAATAATATATTATCTATACAAAAATAAATATAGATAATATATACATATATATATATATATATATATATATATACACAAGGTGTCCCAGAATTAGTGTGACATCTCTCGTAGACAAGTAGAAGCAGTAAAACTGAGCCGATAAGTCCTATACCAGTTTGCTAGATTCGTAATACTTATCCAAATCTTAATTAACAAAGATCAGCGAATAAGCATGCATCGGGCTGTCTTACTCCTTCTACCTGTCTACGAGAAATGTTATACCAATTCTGGGACACCCTGTATGTACACATATATAACCCATAACGTGTATAATACGTAATATAATTAGTTTATATATAATTGCGTGTTCTGCAGTAACAATGTAAAAACAAGTGTATATATGTGCAAATGGATACCTTATAGTTTAGTATAAATTAAGCAAATATGAAACACACACACACACACACACACAAATTTATATATGTATGTATATATTACCATATATATATAAGTAGAAAATTAGTTTTCTAAGACTGAGGTCTTTTATGATCCATTAGGAACAAAATGAAGATTGAAGAATCTTCCAGAAAAAAACCAGAAAGCGCACTGCCATATTTTGTATATAAATATGAGTCATTGCAATCAGTAATGTCATATTTTTATTGATGTATGATAATGACGACATGTGTATAGAGCAATAAGTGACACTATTTATACAAATTTTTTTTTTTAGTAGTACACTTTTTTAGTAAAATACCGAAAATAGATGTAAGTGCGTTGTTATACATAGTATGTAACAAGAGACTGTATTATAAAAAGGAAATAAAAACAAACAAGATAGGTAAGAGGTCAAGATCGAGCAAATATAAAGTTGGTAAATATATATTAAACAAAATATGAATTATAGAAAAAAAAGAAATAAATAAAAAGTTTAATCGGAGAGAAAAATGAGAGCGGTCAAAGTCATAAGAAAAAATGTATAATCGCTTTTCGTGGACATGGTTCTATTCTGTGTTATAACACCGACGTGGTGGGAATACGCAAACGAAAACCGCCGTCTGTGTGGGCTCGTGAAAAAGTGCAGAAATAATATGTTCACGTACGACAGCGGTCACGATTGATACGGTGAAATCCACAATGTATTGTGTTTATTGTGTTTACGGATTTTGAGAGAAGTCCCTTGTATCTTTGCAATTTCCCTAAGATACGAGGGACTTGTCTCAAAATCCGTAGACACAGTATATTGCAAGTGTCACCGTATCGATCATTTGCAGTTTTCACTAAATCTTAGGGACTTTTCTAAAAAAAAATCCCTACACACAATATAAAGTAACATTTAACGTATCAAATCATTTGAGTTTCCATCAGTTCCAAGGGACTTTTCCAAATTCCCAAACAACATACATAGCGACTTTCGACCTAGCAAATTTTATTTACGGTTTTTCCCCAGATCCTAAAAACCTTTCCGAAGCTCCACCAAAAAAAACAATAAATTGCAATGTTCAACGTAAAAATCACTAAAAAATTTTCAGATTCTAGAGTTCTTCCAAAATTCCAAAAAAAATGCGGTTTTTGACGTATCAAATCATTTGCACACACTACCAAGATCACCCCCAAAAAAGTCATTTTCAAAACTTCAAATGAGTTAGGCCCTAACCTAACCTAACCTAACCCGGTTAGGTCCTAACCAAAAAAGTACCTAACCCGGTTAAGACCTAACCAAGAATTAGTACCTAATCCAGTTAGGGTCAGTATGTTTTCTACAGAAAATAATATTAAAGTAATTTCAGATTCGGATACAGTGGGGCACGATGATATTACATCTTTACTTCCGATTCGCGCAAACACAACAAAAAAAAGTTACGTTTCTTATCTTGAAAACTATTACCAATAGAAG